AAAAAAAAAAAATTATTATCATTATAATGGTCCATCCATCCCTCAACTCTTATAGACTCAAGAAAAAGGCGGATTTTGCTCTTCAACTATTTCTTAGCTGTTGTAAGCAACATTCCCCCGCAATTGAAATCTTCTTGCTAAGTTCCAATTTTACTTTTCGTCCATATTATTACTATTTTTTTGACTAATGCTGCTGTCAACTTCTCTTCTTCTTTCATGAAATTTACCAATTATGCCGCCGGTTAGTCTATAGTTTCAAAAACAAGAATACTATCAAAGCAGAATAAAAAACAAAAACAAAGAAGCTAAAACCACTTCGTAAATTACTCATACACACCTCTTTTCCTAATTTTTCATAGTCTCCCACTCGAAGACTTGCGCCAGGTCCTTTTAAAAACGATATAAAATTAAACGGAGTTTTATTTCCTTTATTCTAGTATTGTTTATTACTGTTATCACTAATCATAACTACTGTTATTATTACTAGTTATTATTACTACTACTTCAAGAAATAAAAAATGGAAAAAAAAACAAGTTGGTCTTCTAATTCATTAAAGTTATTACATCTGGTTCATTAAAGAGCCAATCCAGACCGCATTAATTACACCAAATAAGGACCATACGAATTCCAAATATTGCCAGATTAAGCAAACAACAATAAAAACAATAATAATAATGATAATAATAATATTGATAATAACAGTAAAAATAATAACAGTAAGTAACAATAGTACAGTAATGAAAACAAAACAGCGTTAACTATTGAGTACAAAAGAACCCGGAAAAATCTCAAAACGGCTTCTATTACTTCTGCAACAAGAAGCAGCATCTAATAAATCTCAAACACTGTGCAACCTCCCGTAAACATAACAACCGAGCTTTGAAAAAAAATAAGAATAAAAATAAAAAAATAAAAAATAAAAAAAATAAAAAGATAGAAAAATTAAAGTGTCGGCTCGGTGAGAAAACGATCGATAATCAAACAACGAAAAAAGCATATAAATGGTGAACTTCTACTGCAGATCAGGTTTTATTTGCAATCTCAAAACAAACATCGCCTTAGCCTTCCTAAACTACTCCCCTCCCCCCTGATTCCAAAAAACTGTTCCTCACCCCCTCACCACATTCAAAACTCAGCACCAATAGATACATCATCTTCCACACCCAACAAAAACTCTAAAATAACGCTACTAAAAAATCCTCTATCCAAAAACTCTCAAATCTGGCAAATCACTTATCAAGTATAGAGAAGAAAAAAGAACAACATTAAGTACTGGACTACCTAGCTTAAAACTCGACAAGTGAAAGGTACTAAACTGACTATAACAGAAAGCTTGCTCCTGACATTTCTTTTTCATCAGCAAGGAATATTTTGAAAGTACATAGGAATTAAAAATTGATAGCTACTTTAACTCTTTTTTCTAAATTCCTTTAGCCCCAAAACTTCAGAATTGAATTGGCCTGCAAAAATTGATACCGCAACTTAGCTAATTAAACCTGTACTGCAATTCCTCTGGTAAACGGTTATTAAACCAGTTCATATACCAAGAGCATTGCACTGCATAAGTCAAGTAATGTAAAAAAGTTCTTTTACTTCATAATTCCAAATCTTGCCATTAAAGCTAATGACAAACAGTATAACTTTGGTTAGTGAATTTTAAACGTAACATACTAACAAGACAAACGAAGAATGACAAAAATTGCAAATGGAGTGTGATTCAAAGCACCCGTTGGAAGTCGAATGCAAAAAGGCAGTTAAATTATAAAAAAACCAACAAAAAAAAAAAAAGAAAAACAATCAAGTAAAATAATATACAACAACAGAATCAATATATACAATCAGGACCTGACAAGGATGTTGGAGTCCCCGGAGTACCAGGTGTTGTAGAAGAAACTACAGCAGCCAATGGAGATGCTGCCTAAAAAACCCAGAAATATGAATCTAAACAAAAAATAATAATAATACGAGAATTCCAGCTAAAATGATGAAGAAATCTTGATAAATTACCGCACCATAAATAAATGTACATATAACTGCGCTCCGTAGTTCAATTCAACATACCTCCCTCTCTTCCCTATACCATAAACAACGCTTCTTCCGTTTACAATGCTTGCACCACTTATCTTGGTGTGCCAAACCGAATCTTGCACGGCATTTCTTTTGCTCTCCGTTTTCTGAAAATAAGAAAAGATCATCAAACCCATCGTAAGCCACCAGTCGAAGGTTTCCAAATGCTAAAAGCTAGTGGAGCAAACTTAAAATATACTTTGAATGGTGATCTATTAGCTAAATAACTATAATTGCATGCTAGAGTTTCCCAACAACATCAATCACGACGCTCTTACACATGAATGAACCCACCAATGACACGAATAAAAAAATTGAACTTTCTACGAAATTCTACTCAGTGGGCGTAAAGATGTGTCTCAAAATCAATACAGATTCCCTGACTGAAATTTCACTTTCAAGAGATTACAGATGAAAACAGAAAAACAGAGACCCAACAACGACTACAAATGTACACCATCACTGAAATTCAAGTGGTTCAATCATACGCCCCATCTCAAAACTAACCAGAAAAATAATTTCTTGAAAAAACCCAATCACTTGTAATCAGACTATTATGATTATTAATGGTTCCTGACATCAAAATCTTTTTCCTCAATCAAACGTTTGAAAATAAATGCTAGGAAAAGTAAGAACAACGGGAATAAATGTAAAAGATATCTAAGTTTGAAAAAATGTCAAGAATCTGCTCCAAAGACAGAAATACGCTGCTAATTCGAACAAATTTCCAAACAATTGAATCAAATGTTTAGAAAAGATGACTATAAAGCACTCTGAGAGAAGTGCACAATCACCTGTAATCAAAATATTATTATTACTGGGTATTAATTATCAATAATGCGTAAAAAAAACCTATAATGAGCTATACACACAATTTTATGTGCATACAATCTGAATCTGATTCTAAAGACAACAATCTTTACTGTCACTTCCCCTCCAGAATTCCACCAAAAAACAGTGACATAAAGCTTGATACACTAATTCGTAAGCACATTGTACCGATGCTTCCCCCCAATTTTTTCCCCTTCCTTATAAACAAACAAACATAAGTAAGGAAACAGATATACATACGTCAAGTATCTAACGCATAAGAGACAAACCTAGAAACCACAAAAAACTACAAGTGCACACACAAATAAATCCAGGAACCAGAAACCAAGTGAGTGCAGACACACCTTTATTTCAAGGCCAAAACTTCTAAGCACAATCCAACTTCCTTAAAAAATTTTCCTTTCACCAAAACCCTTACTAGCAAAATAGATGTTCTAAATCTTAATTTTCTAAAGCCACAGTAACCTTTAATACGCTAATCAACTGCGGCTGATTTCCGACTAGAAATTTCCGGTTTCTTCATCCCTGCGCTTCCTAAATCCGTACGCTCCAAGCGACGCCGACCTGGAAACCTCAATTAACCAACAGTTATCAAAGCACAAATAATCTGTCGGTAATTCAGTTTCTACCTCCCAAAAAATTACAAATATCAACAACAAAAAACTAGCAGCAAACAAATTTCTTCCCTACAGACCCTAGCAAATCAAAATCCAAACGAGTATCTTTCGCACCCAAGCATGTCACCGGGCAGAATACAAAAAACCCAGCGCTCATCAAGTCGGAAACTCAACAGAAAGAGAGCGAGACATAGTTTAAAGATCTAAAATTTTGTTGCAACACAATTGACTTAAACGAGAGGTAGTTTTAGTCCCAAATGACATTAAGTAAACTTATTCGCACACTTTTTCAAATTTCTAGTAGAATGGGGAAGCAAAAAGTTGATTTAGAAAGTGGCTTTTTCCCTCAAAAACAGACTTCAATTGACTGAAGTAGGAAGTTAGCAAATGCAATATAGCCTGTAAATGCTGTAAAACCAACCAGCATTTGTTGTATGAAAACCATAAACAAAGAAAATCGAGAACTGAAGTAAGCGCTTGTACAAATTGCCAGTACAAAAAGACATCACATGAGTTTGAAATCTGCACATAACGACTCCGCTCTGGCCTCCGTCTTATAAAGTACACTGAACAAGCAGAAGAAGACCTAAACGCCCCTATAAAATTCCGAAAACAGCCAGCAAAAAGCGTGCTTGTTACTATTAAAAAAAAGAAATAAAATTACTTCTTTGTATACCGTGACATCATGAGTAATAAAACTTTTTTAAAACCTAGCTTGCGGGCTTGAAGAAGCCTTCAAGTTCTCCCCATAGGAGATTAATAAAACTACCTAAGGGAATAAAACATGTAAACCAAAACTCCAAAATCCCTAAACTAAAATAATTATACGAGACTAGAGAACAATCCCTTACTCGAAATGAAATTGAAAGTGAGTAAATTGGCAACATATACTGGCTTTTAACCTTGTTAAAAACAATCCTGTTACAGAAACTGCTAAAAAAAACACCGTGACCACATCCAAAAAGAAAATTGATATTTTAGAACTAATTACTTTATATTCAACTGTTATATTCCCTATATCACAATGGAAATGTCTTACACTTTGTTTAGTTTTTGTTATACCAAAACCCTTGTCATAAAAAAAGTGAAGTGATTGTTCCTGTGCAATGTGCACCACTTAAACACAACAAGGAGTGAAGAGGCGTGTTATAATAGTTGTCGGTGGTGCATACTGTTTGCCCAACCAAAAAAACTGCCGAAGAACTTGGTTCTCTAATCGGTTGTATTAAGAATTTTACGCCAGGGTTTAGAAAGTCGTAAGCCCAAAAATAACAAACAAATGTAAGTTATTTGGTGTTAAAAAATTTTTAAATGCAGCAAGCTGTACTTCATGCAAAGTTAACTCCTATAATAACCGTAGCAAAATAAATCATAAGTGCTTTTGAAAACCTCTAAAACGATCCTAAGTTTCAAAAAAGAAAAGAAACACACCGTCAATTTTATCTCGATTCTTTTTCTTTTTCTTTTTATTTATTGCATAATTCTCTCTAGCAGACCAATTGGGATACTTTTCCATATGTCTTTGCCTGTCTTCTTTTGCCATATCATAATACCTTTGCTGTTCTTCTTTTGGGAGATCATGCCATCGCCTTCCTAATTCCTGAAAAAAATAACACAGAGCATTGCTAACAAACCCCCAAACCCTAACAGATAAACAAATAAATAACCCACTGAGCTAGAGTTATAAATTAACAGACGGCAATAAATCGTTTTGATCATCTTTCTACTTGAAGATACAATATGGCGATCCAAGTAGCACAAAAAAGGTTGGAAAACCAACAATAATTCAAAAAATTTGCAAGTAACATTAGACAGATACGCGAAATAAAAAAATTACTTTATTCAATTCAGCACTTTGCCGTTCTTTGTAATCCAATTCTTCCATTAACTTTGGTCGATTCTTTTTCATAAACCACATAAACGCATTCAAGGGTTTTTTAACATGTCTTTCCTGAAAAGAACATAAAATACTAACAAAGGAAAAGAATAAAACCTCGATGTATTATAAAAAATACCCTTCAAGTGGATCACCCAAAGTGTATAACTAATTTAGGAGGAATACCCGTAAACTTCATAAAGCTCCGCAAGTGCAGTTACAGTTAGTTACCCTTTGAAGTCTAGCTTCAGCCTTTATCCGTTTTGGCGTTGCAGCACCATTCACTGTTTGTGCGAGATCATTAGCCATTGATGCGATCGGCGATCCCATCTGAGGTAAGCGCATTTGATTGATAGAATTAAGAGGATGCGGTGCAGATGCAGTCATGTTTCTCATAAAACCTGGGAAAGGATTGCATCCTTTAGGTGTAGCTGCGGGACTTCCCTAAAATGATAGTGACAACGAAAAAATAATCGTGACATAAAGAATAAAGTAAATTGGTAGAACTGAATAGCTACTTAAGTTTACAAAAAAAATGGCTGACAAAGAAATTCAAGCTACCGGAAGAGGAGACGTTGAGGGAGGGAATGTTAGAAAACTAGGAGATAAAGCTGCGGCTTGTTGCATATATAAGGCTGCATAACTCGGAGATAACGAAGCCGCCGGATTAACTGGTGGCTGAAGACGCATTGGCACTGCATAAGGACTGGGACCCTGAAAAGCGCCTGCACATTACGCTGAAAAGTAACTTCAACTAGAAAACCATTTCAGCAAAACTAAATTTCTTCTCTGATATAAACCAAAATAATTAACATCCCAAAATGAAAAGAAATCTTCTTTCAAAAACAACAACTCTTAAAGAAAATAGTAGAGATAAAGAGCTCATCGATAAGTTGCTCTTGCCCTCAATTACGACCTAAAAAAAAACAACTGTGGAAAACTTATCTTAAAATGAAATAAAGAAAGCGTCATCAAGAAATATGAAGTTCTAGAAAGTTTTTCACCAAAGTATTTTTTTGTAAGCTTTTCGCAAGACTGCAAGGTGCAATAAATGATTGGTCCATAACGAATTACTTACAAATCTCCTACAATGTGGCTCCCACTTACAAGCATTAAAAAGCTCATTTGATTCAAAAGAAAAACTACAAGACGGGTCAAGCGTGAAATGTAAAGACAACAAATGTGAGACATTTGAGTAAATCTTAAACAGTGTATAAGAGAAGTCTATCACATCGATGTAGATGGGAAGATGACTAAATAAAACACACATTTACACAATTTGACATAAAATTTAAAAATCAGGCGACGCTAAACAGAAGCAAAATTCCACCACACCATCTGCATTTACGACATCAATAATAACACCAATTCATCAAATATCGCAGAATAAAAAATTTCTTATCAGGAATATTTTCAAAATGACTATATGAAATATATCTCCGAAAAAGTGTTAGAAAACTGCGATTAGATTACTTTAAAACAAAATTTACAGTGCCTGCAATAAAAAAAATCCTTCTTTGCTCCCTCTTCTGCCTGCATTTTTCTCTGCTTCATTTACTTAAAGTAAAACAAAACCGTTGTGAAAATTTAAGAATTAATGTGTAAGAAGAGAGAAAAAAGAACTTTTTACTTCACTTTTTCACTGTCTACTGCACAAATGACATGTTTTGTGCAGTTGAACAAAAAGATAAAATTAGACAAGATGGAGAAAAATACATATGTGATTATGACAACAGCAAACAACCAACACTTGAGAAAATAACGACGAGGATGATGAGCAAAGCACTCAAAAAACTTAGTCTAAACCACCTCAAAAACGTTTTATTTTCTCTCATAATCTTCAGAAAATATATTACTTCTTGTTTCTTGAAAAACCCTTTCTT